GGAGGAGGAGGAGGAGGAGGAGGAGGAGGAGGAGCAGGAGGAGGAGGAGGAGGAGGAGGAGGGCGCTGAGGGGCCCTAGGGGGAAGTCAGGGGGAGTTCAGGGGAAGTTTGGGGCACCCCGCACCCCCCCCCCCCCCTCGAGAAGAGAGGGGGTTCGCCCCGCCCCCAAGAGAGATGGGAATTTTGGGGGCTCCGCCACCCCCCCTCGCGAGAAAGGAGAGGGGGATCGCCCCGCCCCGCCCCCCGAGAGAAAGAGAGAGAGAGAGAGAGAGAGAGAGAGAGAGAGAGAGAGTGAGAGAGAAAAAAGCTGTATAGCCATTTTGGCCCAATGATCCAGATGCCAGCCAAAGCGAGGGCCAAGACGTGCGATGACGAGCAGGGCATCAAGGAGGTATGGGCGCAATACATCAGACAGGTGAACACGCCTTGCTCTTAGCGGTCCTCTTCATCCGCCCCCCTCTCCCCCTCGGGGGAGGGGGGGGAGAGCGGAATGGAGGGAAGGAGGTTGGGGAGAGGAAAGGGAGGTATATGAGAGGGGGAGGAAGGGAGGGAAGGTGGCAGGAGTAAGAGGAGGAGGAGGAAGATGAGGAGGAGGAGGAGGAGGAGGAGAAGGGGAGGAGGAGGAGGAGGAGGAGGAGGAGGAGGAGGACGACGACGAGGAGGAGGAGGAGGAGGAGAAGGAGGAGGAGGAGGATGACGCGATAAGGTTAGAGTACTCCACATGCATGGAGGGGGAGCCCGACCAGGAGAAGCTGCTGCAGCACAGGATGCTGATCAAGGAGACTAGGGCTGTCGCTCCGACAGGAATCGCGCAGAAGACGGCAGAGGCTGATGGCTTCCCATCGTCTCGCTCCGCACGACTCCCCCCCCCCACGGTCCTCCTCCTCTCCTCCTCCTCCTCCTCCTGCTGCTGCTGCTCCTCCTCTTTCCTCCTCATCCTCTCCTCCTCCTCCTACTCCTCCTCCTCCTCCTCCTCCTCCTCCCCCTCCTTGAAGAGGAGGAGGAGGAGGCGGAGGAGGAGGAGGGGGAGTAGGAGGAGGAGGAGGAGGGAGGAGGAGGAGGCGGAGGAGGAGGAGGAGGAGGAGGAGGAGGCGGAGCAGGAAGGAGGAGGAGTAGGAGGAGGAGGAGGGGGGTACTACTACTAGCTACGACTACTGCTACTAGGCTATCATCCTCCTCCTCCTCTTCCTCCTCCTCCTCCTCCTGCTCCAGGCTGTGTTCATGATGTTGGCGGCTGACAACGAGGGCCAGTGGCACTTAGCCACGTCGGCGCAGGATTGGGCCCACGACCAGGCCCGCATGATGAGGGCGATGTTGCGGCACGCGTCGAAGATCGCTTCGAGGACGACGTCCACAATCGATCTCCGACTCGGCCCGACTAGCCCACGCCCTCCTCCCTCCTCCCGAGGAGGGATGGTGGGACGTGGAGGGGGATTGGGGAATGCTGGAAGGACGGGGGAAGGCGGAAGGGGGAGGTGAAGGAAGGAACGACGAGTGAGGAAGTGGAGGAAGGAAAGAGGAGACGAGAGGGGATAGGTGGAGGAAGGAGGAATTAGGAAGTGGAGGAGACGGTATGTAGGCGATGCGGATGCGGATGCGCCTCCCCGAAGGACGCACATCCCCGAGTGGGCCCGCGTCTTCTTTGGTGGTGATGGCGCTGACGGAGGAGGGGCAGCAGCAGCAGCACCAGCACCAGCACCAGCAGCAGCTGCACCAGAGCGTCGGAGGTCAGGCCTGGAGACGATCGCCACCATCGACGGCTGGGAGTTGGGCTGGCAGGCAGACATGCAGGAGCTCCTGCTGCTGCTGCTCCTCCTTCTCCCTCCTCCTCCTCCTCCTCCTCCTCCTCCTCCTCCTCCTCCTCCTCCTCCCCCTCCTTGAAAAGGAGGAGGAGGAGGAGGAGGAGGAGGAGGAGGAGGAGGAGGGAGGCTGCGGAGGAGGAGGAGGAGGGGGAGGAGGAGGAGGAGGGTGGAGGAGGAGGAGGAGGAGGAGGAGGACGATGAAAATCAGAACGGGAAGAAACACTCGCTACCCCTCCCCGCTCCCCATCCCTATATGGGCAGGGGAGTAGGAAGGGTCCCTCAGTCCGCCTGGCGCGGGAAGCGTGGGCAACCAGAAGTCGAGTGGGTGGTGGCGCATGCTCAGAGCGACGCGAACCTGCCGCTGTTGGCATCGTGGCCAGATGGTTTCAGTTGGCAGGTTAGCGATGATAAAGCATTCGATGTGTCAACATATGTGTTTCTGCTATGGCCCGAAGGGGTCGTACCTCCGACGCCGTCAGAGGTATGACCCCTTCGGGCCATAGCAGAACTGACCCCATAGATGATCACATCGAATGCCTGATCTGCGCAGGTCCCAGATACAGTTGGCAGCTCTGCGAACGCGAGTGTGGGCGGCAGCAGGGCTGGCACAGCAGCAGTGTGGGAGGGCATCGAGGAGTCCAGCGGAGAGAGAGTGAAGATTGTCTTCGAGAACAAGCAGCACAAACGGTGGCTTCAGGTGAGGCACAAGGGGCAGCTGATGCAACTCATGAACTACAAAGATGAGGAGTCCGCAAAAAAGTGGCTGATCAATCTGGTGCAACGGTACTGCAAAGGCAGAGTGGATAAACCGATGATGGAAATTGAGAAAGCAGCATGGCTAGAGGCTAACGGAACATCAAGAAAGAGACCTTCGGCAGCAATGAAACGACCAGCAGCGCGGCGGCCGATATCGGCAGCACAGAAGCCAGACGATGATGATGCTGGCCTCGACCCCCAGCCCGAGGGCGACGCGGACAAGGATCAGGAAGAGGAGGAAGAGGAGGAGGAGGAGGAGGAAGAGGCCGAGCAAGACGACGAGGAGCAGCACCCTGGCGAGGAGCAGGAGCAGCACCTGGCAATGAAGCGCCCAGCAGCAGCCGAGCCCCCGCTGGCGAAGATCCCGAAGCAGATGATGAAGGTGGCATCGGCGCAGGCGGCGGCTTCGGATGCATCGGCGGCGCAGGCACCTGTGAAAGCGGCATCGGCGGCGCAGGCGGCACCGATGAAGGCGCCAGCGCAGGAGGCAGCCGGGCATGTAGAGGCCGAGGATATTCCTCGCTCCGTTTTCGACATGTAGGCTGGATGACAGACGTCCCAGCCTGCAGCATGTTTTTGCTTGAAGCATTGGAGCGAGCACGCCTCGCAACGCACGCTGCTGTTTGGAAGCGGATTCAGCGATGGTGACAGCAACGACAATAATGGTGACACCATCAACGTCAGATCTCCAAACCGACCCGTATAAGTCAAGCAATAATCCCCAATCGAATATTTTCTCAGCCGCCCCCCGAACTCACCCCCAACCCCAAATTACCCCCAAGTCAACGAATCACCCCAATCACCCCCTCTACAAAAACAATCACGCCCCAACCAATACCACTCACAATCATTCCCTCCAAGGTCCATCCCTCCCCTCTCTGCCCACCTATCTCCCTCCCACTCCTCCTCCTCATCCTCATCCTCTTCCTTATCCTCCCACTCTGTCCACTTTTATCTCCCACCCACTCCTCCCCCTATCTCCCACTCCTCCCCCCTCCACACTGCAGAACTCGCCTTCCCCCTCACAGCCCTCTCGCATGCCATAGCCTTTTTGGGCCGAGGCGTCACGATCGATTCGCACGACGCGGATCATGGCGCCGCCAGCGGGGCGATTGCGGGATTGCCCCGAGACAAGCGACGATGAGATGGCGACGCTTCCTGGACAGATCCCACGGCCGACCGACACCTTGGCGGAGAGCCCGATGGGGCCCAACATGACCGAACTCCTCGCTTCCGATCGCTTTCCATCAGAGGCCGACGTGGCCGACGCACGGCAGAGAGATGTTGAGTACGCAGAGAGGATGGCAAATGCAATCGACATCGGCGGCGAATCCCAACCAGTGGCAGGCATTGCAGATTCTCTCGAGGCAGATGCGCTGGCAGCTGAGGAAGAGGCACGGCTGGCAGCTGAGGAAGAGGAGGCGGCAGCTGAGGCAGAGGTGGCGGCAGCTGAGGCAGAGCAGACTGAGGCAGGTGATGAATCCGAGTTGCAGGCGGCGCTTCAAGCGTCGCAGCAGGAGGCGGACACCATGGCCAAGCGGCAGCAGGCAGAGGATGATGAGATGAAAGCAGCCATTGCAGCATCGCGTGAGGAGGCAGAGGAGAAAGGTATTGAGATTTCTGGCGTGCGTGATGTGTGGTCGGCAACCAGTGCGGACCCGATCGGCTCGAAGGTCACCGCGGAGCGCCTCGTCGGCATCGCGCGGGTGGCTGCTGAGGACACAGGGGTTTCATCGAGGGGTCAGGGATTATACAGAAAAACGCCCTCCGATCATCGAACGGATCATCTCGATGATCGCATCGATGATCGGGGCCTCCCGGAATCCATCGTACTCAGACCCCCCCTTCACGAGGGTATTGCCATTAGCACTGAACAGGGCTTGTACAGAAAAACGCTCCCCGATCATCGACACGATCATCTCGATGATCGCATCAATGATCGGGGCCTCTTGGAATCCACCGCGCTAAGACACGACCCTTACGGGCTGCCCCCGCCGACGATCAGGACGTTGGCGCGGCGCGCAGGGGCCAGAAGCGCCCGGCCAAGTCGACGGACGAGCAGGAGGAGCGAGGGAACGCGGAATGGAGGAGAGAGGGGGTGGTGGACCTATAGGGGGGTGGTGGATGGGACCTATAGGGGGGTGGTGGATAGGTGGAGAGCGAGGACTCGACGGGAAGGGACTCGGAGGGAAGGGAAAAGGATAGGGAAGGAGGGATAGAGGGAGGATGGAGAAGAGTTATAGGGAATCCGCTCCCTCCTCACTCCTCACTCCTCCTCCTCCTCCTCCTCCTCCTCCTCCTCCTCCTCCTCCTCACTCCTCCTCCTCCTCCTCCTCCTCCTCCTCCTCCTCCTCCTCCTCCCCCATCCTCCTCCTACACCATTCTGGTGTCTTTGCGTAACCATAGGAAGACGTGCCGACAGAGATCACGACCCCGCAGAAGGTATCCAAGACAGCTGCGCTGCAGCAGTACAGGCAGAGCCAGGAACGCCTCGAGACCATGATCAAGAGCAACAACACAATCGACGACGTCGGGGCCCACGAGGAGATGATGAAACTGTTCACGTCCGAGGGCCTGAAAGCCATCCTCGGAATGAAGGGGATCACGCCAGGAGATCTGTCGCCGCCCCAGAACGCCTTCAACGACAACGAGTTCGTCGCCGTGCCTGGGTCGCAGATGGCCATCGACCTCGCCGAGAAGGACCCGAAGGTGCTCAAGATGCAGGCCGAGGAGCAGATGTGGGAGCACGTCAAGTCGCTCGGCTTCGTCTTCAAGACGAACGCGAAGGGCGGGAATGCCATCGCCTCGCGCTGGCAACGAGTGGTGGACAAGGAGGGCAGCAAGGAGAACGTGGAGTACAAGGCGCTGAAGGGCAACAGCATCGAGCAAGAGGCCTACAGGGCCTCCTGGGCGAGGGAGAAGTACCAGGAGTTCGTCAAGAGACGCGAGAAGGTCACGACCTTCTCGCGAACCGAGTACAAGAATGGCCAGTACCTGGCCATCGGGCGCGTCGCCCATCTCGAGGGCGGAGGGCGTCTTGGCTGGTTGCAGGCTCCGCCTGCTGGTTTGTAACATCGGGGGTCCGCTCGTGATCTCAGCAGCGATCGACCTCAGCCGATCGAGTCGTTGATCAGCTCGTCTTGAGATCGACGTCCCCACCCATCGAAACGAAAACATTGGAGGGGGGATCAACAATGATGATCAGGAGGAGGCGCTACCTCGAAATCAACAGGCGAGGTTTGCCACCCTCCTTATGCCGCGCCTCAGGCGATTAAGATCTTCTGCAAGACGATGGCGATGGGGCCGCCGTGGATCGCCTACGATGAGCTCAGCGAGTCCCTGAGGACTCTCTACATCATCCGCGGCACGAAGGAGGCTTTCACGGAGGCCTGGACGAAGCATGAGGTCTGGAGCAACGAGCCCGAGCTGACAGGTGAGGAGAGCCAGAAGCGCACGGCGGGCGCAGCCGCGATGCCCGAGCTCGAGGCCAAGAGGAGGAAGACTGAGCAGGAGGAGGCCGCTGCTGCTGAGGATGCCACGCTGAAGTACCCCACGGAGGACGACGAGACGATCGCGCCCAAGGCGGCTGAGGAGGCATCCAGTTCCCAAGGCCAGGCGAAACCCAAGGCCAAGGCCAAGGCGAAAGCTGAGGCCGCCAGGAAGAAGAAGGCTCAGGAGGCCGCAGCCGCGAAGGAGGCAGCGGCGGCCGCGAAGAAAGCCGCAGCTGAGGCTGGCGATGGCGCTGGCGACGGGCACGGCGGTGGCTCAATCAAGGACCAGATGGCCAAGGCCAAGAAAGTGGTGACCAAGTATACGTTGTCAATGTCGAATGCGCACACCATCAAGGCGTCCATCGTGGAGGGCGACCAGCAGTGGGCGTGGGCAAAGGACGACACTGACGCAGCGGCTCTGCTGAAGGCCATGGACACGATGAAGGAGAAGCTCTCGCAGGACCATCAGTTGAGCTCAGCGCTGACTCGCGACCTCCCCATGGTGCGCAGGATGATCAAAGACGAGTTGGTCTTCGCGAAGACCCTGGAGTCGGTGGAGAGCCTCGAGCCGCTCATCGAGACGATCTCGCAGCACGTTCGGAGCCTCCTGCAGGTGCACGAGACCAAGAACAAGAAGATCTCATCCTGATGTGGTCTTCAGATGCCGAGGCATCGGGGTTTGCAGAGCGTCCATACTGTATAAGTATGCGTTTAGTTCTGCCTCGAACGACGGGGTGAACAGGTGGCCTTTTTTGCATGGCCCGCCAGTGGAGTCTGAAGACTCCATGCGTGACGTTGGGCCCCAGGAGGATCAGTGTATTCACATGCCTCTTCCTCATCCTCGTCCCTCCTCCTCCTCGCCTCCCGACCCTCCTCGTCCCTCGTCCTCCTCCCGCTCACTCCCACCCCATCCCATCCCACTCCTCCCGCTCGTCCTCCTCCCGCTCACTCCCACTCTCACTCCTCCTCCCGCTCACTCCCACCTCACTCGTGCTCGGGTGCCGACTTTGAAGCCCGCGGAGGCCAGAGAGCGGCGAACACCGCCTGACGGGACGGAATCGGGGCCGAACGGCCCCGTGATCGACCGAATCGACCGATGATCTACCGATGATTTTCCGATGATCCGGCAACCGATGATCACCGATGATCGTCGCTCAAACCATGATTTTTCACATGGTTTCGCGACCGATGATCTACCGATGATCCCCAGTGAACCGATGATCAACCGATGATCTACCGATGATCCACCGGTCTTCGTCGATTTTCTGCGTTGGGATCACCATTTGCTTGAGAGTGGGCTGCAATCCCTGGCGAGATGGGCCCAACGGCACGGATTTCTAGCGCTGTAGCTACTGTGGAGCCTCGAGCTGATGAATTCGAGTGCTCAGCTCTGTGCGCCTCTCTGGTTTTCAATCTTACCTCCGAAATCTGATCCCTGGTTGCACGGAGGGGGCCCTGGTCCGACCTGAGCCCCAGGGGGCTCGTAGACTTCGACGGTCGGGCCCCACGGGGGGGCCCTCGTCCGCCGAATCCGACCCATCGGATAATCCCCATACTTCATCCTTCTCCCCCGACCTCTCTGCAGAGACGGCGCTGTCTAGCGCCGCCCACTGTGCCATTCGTGGTGGTTCGCGGTGGCATCGGATAGCTCGAGTGCTCACTCCTGTCAGATAACCGACGGTGATGACAGCAATCGGACAGTGGCACACACACACAAGTTGCGGATGAAAGCGAGGGGCTCGGGTCCTGGTTCGTTGTTAAGAAACATATTTCTAACATCAGCGACATATTTCTACATATTTCGTAAGACCGTTCGGCAACATAGTTCTAACATCAGCGAACGATCGTCGTGCTTCCCTCTGGCCCACGGTCGTGCTTCCCTCCGGCCCTCGCCCCGCCCGCACCGTCCGCCACACGGCCGACGGAGAAGATCGACTTCAAGGCAGCCCGTGCGCGCGGCGCCGCCCGTGCGCGCGTGCCCTGGCCCCCCCTCCTCCTCCTCCTCCTCCTCCTCCTCCTCCTCCTCCTCCTCCTCCTCCGCCTCCTCCACCTCCTCCTCCTGCTCCTCCTCCTCCTCCTCCTCCTCCTGCTCCTCCTCGGGGAGAAGAGGGGAACGGGGAGCAGTTCAGATGAGGTCAGCAGGGAAGTCAGAGGAGGAGTAGGAGTTCAGAGGGGAAAGCGAGAGGAGGAAGTCAGAAGAGGAGGATGTGAGGAAATGAGAGGAAGTCCGAAGTGGAATATGTCAGAGGAGGAGGAGTAGGAGGTCAGAGGAGGAGTAGGAAGCCAGAGGCGGGGACAACACATAAGCAAGTGAAGGAGAGCGGGGGGGAACGGCCAGGACGACGACTAACATCGTATAACGAATACATAGAGGAAAACGAGGAGTATGAGGAGTACGAGGATGCGCACTGCGATCCAATCGTACCAATCATCTATGGCTCAATTGTTCTAACCTGAGCTGCGCGCTTGTTTGGAGCGGCCCCACACCGCATGAGCTCGCCGCCATGTCTCTTGATAGGAGCAGGAGCTCTCGAGAGATTCAAAGGCGCTTCGCTCCTTCCACGCCCGAGCAGAGAGAGGCAGGTGCCAATCTTCTCAGACTACTTTTGAAACTTTACGGTTCTTGCAAACTCAACGCGATTGAGTTCGCGACCGCCTGCTTCTCTGCAGAGAAGGCGGGAGTACCAGGAGGAGCGTTTTCAAGATATTCAGTCGAGCCTGGCAAACAGACGGGCAAGTACCAACACCACGTGGATCAGGTGCTCCCGCCGCCCAAGAATCTATACACCGTGCCGACCCCAATGAACTACAACAGGCGCCCGCAGAGGACGATCAAGGATGTGCCGATATCACTTGTTTACGAGAGTTTGTTAGAAGAGCTGACGAGCGATAATAAGACGTTTGAGCTGCTGGATGCAGGTCCAGGTCAAGCCACTGAGTCGGTGCTGGATCTACCTGTATATCAGAACCACCGCGGAGTCATTCAGGCCCGTAGGAACAAAGAGCGGCTTCCTGTTCCATTGGGTTTCTACTTGGACGGCGTGAACTATCGCGCCCAGGCGGCGGGGCGAATGGACAGTACATTGGGCATGTGGCTCATTAACCTCCTCACTGGGAGCCGCCATTTAATATCAGTGACACGCGCTTCGGACCATTGTTTGTGCGGGTGCAGGGGCTGGTGCAGTCTGCACCCTCACCTCCAAGCAGTGCGTTGGCAACTCGACGCGATCGCGTCTGGACGACGGCCATCCGTGCGACATGATGGAGCAGCGATGGGCGTTGAACCGACCGACTTACCATTCAAAGGAGTTTTCATTTGGATCAAGGGCGATTGGGGTGAGCATGCGAAGTCCTTGGGCTTAACAGCCTGTACCAGCGTCCACTCGCCTTGTCAATTTTGCAAATGTAATAGGGACGAGGTGCACCTAGTATATTCGGGGCTGAAAAATCATGACGGCATCGAGTGGCCCCTCCGCTCCCACACTGATTATGAGGCGGCTTGCAAGATGTGCGAGGTGCACGTGCGGTTGACATCACTTTCTAGCAGGAAGGCCCTTGTACGAGCGTTGAAGTGGCGCAAGGGTGGGGTCGGCGTGGGTGGGCGAGTCGTGGACTACGATCTAGAGGTAGCTGGAGTCCACCTCCAGGCGGGGGACCGTCTTGAGCCGTCCAAGGAAGTTCTGGATGTGGCTGCACTCGAGCGTCTTCCTTTGCCGCGGAACGTTGTTTTCTGGAGAGCTAGGCGAGACCACAAGCAGAGGCTTCTCGACTCGGTGACGCATCGCTGCGTCCTCTTCGACGACGGCTTGGACACGTCGCCTCACAAGAGCTTAGCGGTGGACGCCCTGCACTGCCTCTACTTCGGGCCCGTCATGAGGTTCGTGAGTTCGTCCCTCTGGAGGCTCATCTTGAAAAACGTGTGGCGCTTCACTGGCACTCTCGAGCAGGTGATCGAGCTTGGGTCCAGGCAGCTTGGGGCAGAGCTGCAGCAGTGGCAGGAGGCGCAGAATATCCCTCACTCAGCTCGCCTGGCCACCCTGTCGGCGAAGATGCTGGGGAAGCGCCGCGGGGCGACTCTCCAGGACCTTTTCTTTGTTTTTCTGGATACATAAAAGGATGAGGGGAAGGAGGATCAGGAGGACAAGTATAGATATTACATCTTGGACGACAAACGAAACATGGGGGGCCCTTGGGGAGCGGTGGAAACGAGCAGAAGAACAAAAAGCGGACCCAAACGAGAGGGGAGGGAGGATGAGGATCCTGAAAAGGAGGGGAGGAGCAGGAGGAGGAGGAGGAGGAGGAGGAGGAGGAGGAGGGGGAGGAGGGGGAGGAGGAGGGGAAGGATGAGGGCGGGAGGAGGGGGAGGGAGGAGGGTGGGAGGAGGGAGGAGGGAGGCAGGAGTTTCGAACCACAAATGTCGGATAATCGCCCGATCATCGCGATGATCGGAACGACGATCCTCGTCCAGTCAATGATCGGCGCTACGGTCATCGCCCGATCATCGCCCGATCATCGCGATGATTGTGCGATGATCGGGCGATGATTGTGCCCAGTGATGGCCCTTTCAGGCTCATTTCGAGCCGGTGAGCACCCCTCGGGCTGTGTCGGGATGATCGTGCGATGATCGGGCGATGATTGGGCCCAGTGATGGCCCTTTCAGGCTCATTTCGAGCCGGTGAGCACCCCTCGGGCTGTGTCGGGCCGGTGAAAAACACGTCTTCAGCATCCGAACCATCCTGGTTGCGCAATGTCGCTCAAGGCTGCAGAGTGCGGCCTCGTCCTTCCGTTTTGCATCGACATGTTACGTAAGCACGGTGGTGCAGCTGTCTTCGGGAAAGGCCTTCTGCAGGCGGGTGTGTCTCTTTCGCAAATATTGAATATAATTCGTCATGTTCGGTGCAAGTTTACTGGTGTTGGAAAAGATATGCTTTTGGACGCGGCGCACACCCATCTCCTGGCTTGCGCGGAAGCAGGCCTGCAGTACACCCCCAAGAGCCATCTGCTGTGCCACATGATCGACAGGAGATCGGTTGAAAGCGCACCCCACCCTTGGTAGGCCCCCGATTAAACAGAAATCAACACACGGTGAGAAACAATGGGGGTTTGGGGCATCCTAGGTAGGAATAAGAAAATATGTGTATTGTGTTTGGTTCCTGGTGCTCCCAGGGTTGACACCCAGGGCTCCCCCAAGCAGTACAACTGCTTTATAGACGAGTCGTTGAACTCGATGCTCAGGGACGTGGCCATTTTTGCTCACAGGGCCGCGTTCGAGAAGCGCATCTTCGCACTGCTGGATCTTCAATCGCGCGTGGGTGTTTCTCAATACCTTCCGACACGGCCATGGCTTCCGCTCGTGGCTGGCGTGGCGTAGCGTGGATGCTTGTGTTAATGTTCGTGGCCCAGTCGTTTGCTGCGCCAGATCACGATATTGGGATGAAATGGGCGGTGAGGACCGCTCGCGAGATGCATTCCAAGGGAGTTGGCCTGAACTTGAAGGACGGTACTTCGTCGGTGATGTTGCAGTGCTGTATCGATTACTTTGTGCATGCGATGCCGTTCATACCTCGGCACACGGGATTTGTGGAGGTGTTCAGTGGAAAAGGTGGCACTACTGAGCGAGTGAGATCTAAACAGATTCGAGCCTTTGCT